GACCATGTACTGCTGCTTCAGCCCGTAAATGCTCAGCATCAGGAAGAGCATCCAAGGGATTCGCAGCCTGCTGCGTGCGCTGAAAGACGCACGGTGGAAACCAACAGCGCAAGCCAAAAGTGGTAATTCCAAAAACCAAGAGGGGTATGCGAAACAATCGTGCGCTCTCGCATGCCAACGTCCAGCCTGCGCACGTCGCTGGCGACCAGAATGCGACATGGCAACACGACACGTCGGAAATACCCGCCAGCGCCGCGCGACTCTGATATCTTCTGGCCACCCGCTGTCTGTAACTGCTTTGACAAGATCGGTGCGCCAAGGAAACGAATCCGCACTTCGGAAGATGCAATCTGAGCGATGACACCTTCTACAGCACTAACACGGAAAACTGCCTTGAGCATGAATGCACGCGCAAGCAGCAGTGACAAGCGACAGCAACCTCATGGAGCACCCCTCCAAAAAATGAAGCATAGCACCAACACAAAGAAGCCGTGTCGCCCTGATCAACTGTCGCCGCAAACATTCTCTGGGCAAGCTCCGCTACTGAGACACTCATAATGCACATTTTTTGTCGGCAGCAATCGTGTGCGGCAGAAAGCCCTGGCAGCGCCAGCAACTTCAAGGACGCCAGGGAAAAAAATCCGCCTGCGCCGCACAGACCGGAAGGTCCAGGAGCTGTGGAATGCAGAGCCAGTCGGCGACGTTTCGGAAAGATCCGCCTGCGCCGCACAGACCGCCCGCCGTCCATCACAGCTTCAGCTTTCCAAAGAAGTCCACCAAGTCATCGTCAAGCGGGAAGCCATTAGCTCCATCTAGCGCCCATTCTTCTGCGCCCTTGCCGCAAGAGGTGCAGCCAACATCGAAGTCCGGCGAGTCAGCAAAGAAGCGCAAGCATGTCAGGCAGCGATCCTCCGCTGCGTACAAGAACAAGTACTCCCTCATCTTCTTGGCCGTCTTTTGGCCGTGCTTCTTGAAGAACTTCTTGCAGTGTGGAGCGTGAAAGCAAGGTCCCACATCCACCGGAGGATGCGGCGCAGCCTTGGGCGCAGAAGTAGAGGATGCCGACTTGGAAGCAGGCTTTGCCGATGGAAAGCGACCAGTTTGCCGGTATCCCCATGGATCCTCTTCGCCAGCAGCACGCGGCTCTTCACGGCGGGAAGAGGCAGCGGACGACTGGTCTCCTTGACGAAAATCACGGAAGTCGTCCCAGGCTGCCAGGACAGCTCTCACTCGCTCCGGATCCACCTGCGGCGTGCAGCTGTTGGCCTGCTTGTCAGGATGGTTCTGGCGAAGCCACTGGAAGTACTTCTTCTTCACGTCTGCGAAAGGCACCGTGAAAGCATCCACGTTCTCAAAACCCAGCTCTGACAACAAAGAACCGAAAGGAGCCATGGCTGCAAATGATGCGATGTATCTTTTTTCTACAACTCGATAAATCAGGTCGGGAAGCCGTGTCGCCCTAATCAACTGTCGACGCAAACATTCTCTGGGCAAGCTCCGCTACTGAGACACTCATGACATCCAAGCTTCGGCTACTATTGCTCTTGTCAGCTGCCTATCACTCCAAAATCCAACTGCGCATGTTTATTTTACAAGCCAATTACAAAAGCCAACTGCCCAATCTCACTTCACAAGCCAATGACAACTGCCAACTGCCCAATCTCACTTCACAAGCCAAATGCACTGTCCCAAAACACAAGCCAAATTTTCGAGTGTTACTTCACTATCCTAAAACGCAAACTAACTTCTCGGGCGTTTCTTCGGCATCGTAAAGCGCACGTATTTTTTTCAGGCGTTACATTGCAAGCCGACTTTTCCTTTTCTACCTTCTCTTCTCGATTCTGTGTTCTTTCTTCTTTTTCCGGCGGAGCTGGGGAGACGCTCTCCGCGCCGAGATAGGTCCGCAAGTGCTTTGTGCAAGTGCTCTGTGCAAGTTGCTCTGCGCAAGTTGCTCTGCGCAAGTTGCTCTGAGCAAGTGCTGCCGGAGCTGTGGGAATGTACTTCGCGTACTATTTTTTTGTACTTAAAAGTTGTGATTTTCCAGCCGGAGCTGCGGGAGTGTGCTCCGCGTACTACGTTTGTACTTAAAAGTTGCGATTTTCCAGCCGGAGCTGCGGGAATGTGCTCCGCGTACTATGTTTGTACTTAAAAGTTGCGATTTTCCAGCCGGAGCTGCGGGAGCACGCTCCGCGTACTACGTCTGTACTTAAAAGTGCGATTTTCCAGCCGGAGCTGCAGCAGCCTCCGCGTACTACGTCTGTACTTAAAAGTTGCGATTTTCCAGCCGGAGCTGCAGGAGCACGCTCCGCGTACTACGTTTGTACTTAAAAGCTGCGATTTTCAAGCCGGAGCTGCCGCGGACCAGGGGGGAATCGAACCCGAGACCGCGGGAGTGCGAAAGCAGGCGCGCAAACCACGAGACAACTTCCAAAGGCCGTTTCGCGAGCAAGAAAATCGCACGGTCTTCTCGATTCTGAGTTCTTTCTTCTTTTTCCGGCGGAGGGGAGACGCTCTCCGCGCCGAGATAGGTCCGCAAGTGCTTTGTGCAAGTGCTCTGTGCAAGTTGCTCTGCGCAAGTTGCTCTACGCAAGTTGCTCTGAGCAAGTGCTGCCGGAGCTGTGGGAATGTACTTCGCGTACTATTTTTTTATACTTAAAGTTGTGATTTTCCAGCCGGAGCTGCGGGAGTGTGCTCCGCGTACTACGTTTGTACTTAAAAGTTGCGATTTTCCAGCCGGAGCTGCGGGAATGTGCTCCGCGTACTATGTTTGTACTTAAAAGTTGCGATTTTCCAGCCGGAGCTGCGGGAGCACGCTCCGCATACTACGTCTGTACTTAAAAGTTGCGATTTGCCAGCCGGAGCTGCAGGAGCACGCTCCGCGTACTACGTCTGTACTTAAAAGTTGCGATTTGCCAGCCGGAGCTGCAGGAGCACGCTCCGCGTACTACGTTTGTACTTAAAAGCTGCGATTTTCAAGCCGGAGCTGCCGCGGACCAGGGGGGAATCGAACCCGGGACCGCGGGATTGCGAAAGCAGGCGCGCACACCACGAGACAACTTCCAAAAGCCGTTTCGCGAGCAAGAAAATCGCACGGCGCTTCACACGCGAGCAAGCTTCGCACGGCGCCACAGCGAGAGCGATCCGACACGCACGATCCCCGCAGAGGGTTCTCGGGTCAAGACAAATTCGCACGGCGCCACAGCGAGAGCGCTTCGACACGCAGGATCTCCGCAGAGGGTTCGCCAAGGTCAAGACAAATTCGCACGGCGCCACAGCGAGAGCGCTTCGACACGCACGATCTCCGCAGAGGGTTCGCCGCGCTCAAGACAAATTCGCACGGCGCCACAGCGAGAGCGCTTCGACACGCACGATCTCCGCAGAGGGTTCGCCGCGCTCAAGACAAATTCGCACGGCGCCACAGCGAGAGCGCTTCGACACGCACGATCTCCGCAGAGGGTTCGCCAAGGTCAAGACAAATTCGCACGGCGCCACAGCGAGAGCGCTTCGACACGCACGATCTCCGCAGAGGGTTCGCCGCGCTCAAGACAAATTCGCACGGCGCCACAGCGAGAGCGCTTCGACACGCACGATCCCCGCAGAGGGTTTATCGGGCTCAAGACAAATTCGCACGGCGCCACAGCGAGAGCGCTTCGACACGCACGATCTCCGCAGAGGGGTGCGTTTCGTAAGCTCCCGTCGGGCCTACCCCCGCCAGAAAAAGAAGAAGAATTAAGAGTCGAGATGTGAAGGTAGAACAGAAAAGTTAGCTTGTGTTTTTAGGATAGTGAAGTAACACCCGACAAATTAGCTTGTGCTTTTAGTAGAATGAGATAACAGCCGAAAAGTTGACATGAGAAGTTGGCAGGTGAAGTAACTCTCAAAAAGTTGACATGAGAAGTAGGCAGGTGAAGTAACTCTCGACAAGTTGACATGAGAAGTAGGCACGTGAAGTAACTCTCGACAAGTTGGCATGAGAAGTTGGCAGGTGAAGTAACTCTCGACAAGTTGGCATGAGAAGTTGGCAGGTGAAGTAACTCTCGACAAGTGGCATGAGAAGTTGGCAGGTGAAGTAACTCTCGACAAGTTGGCATGAGAAGTTGGCAGGTGAAGTAACTCTCGACAAGTTGGCATGAGAAGTTGGCAGGTGAAGTAACTCTCGACAAGTTGGCATGAGAAGTTGGCAGGTGAAGTAACTCTCGACAAGTTGGCATGAGAAGTTGGCAGGTGAAGTTGGCAGCCGCTTTTAGAAGAAGAACCCTTCGCAATGCTTCCGGGAAAAAACGAAAGCGAGAAAAAAGTGAGAAGAACGAGAGTGGAGAGGACATCTGCGAGAGCTCGAGGATCGAAGAATCGAAGAAAGGAGCAGAGAGAAAGGTGGGGAGGTGAACAAAGAAGCTATGAGAGGAGCAAAGAAAAAATGGGCAGAAGCACCGTAGAGCTGAAAGAGTAGCAAGAGAAGCAAGGAGAAAGTGAGAAGAGTGGGCGGACAAGCTGCGAAAGGAGCAAAGAGGAAAGCGGGGAAGAGTCGAAAAGAGACCGCGCTAGCCGGAGAAGACTAGCTTGAAAAGCGAGGGAAGCAAAGTGGAGGGAATGCAAGAAAAGGAGCGTGCAAAAGTTTGGAGAAGCGAAAAGAGGGGAATAGATGTGAGGAGACCAGCAGGGAAGTCGAAGACGAGGGAATGGAGATAAAGAGAAGAGTGGGTAGAAGAGCAAAGAAACAGGGGAGAGCGTGAGCAAAGCAAGGCGATGGATACTGTTAGGCACCAAGAATCCAAGCGGCTTCTTTGCAAGACTCGGTAGGACTGAGCACCTAAAACCCCTTGGTTCTACCAACACGCTTAAGGTTTATATGGGTGTGTCGTTTTAAGGGGGGCCCCCAAAATGGTCCTTGGTTTTCCTTTGGATCCACACAAAAAAGGTACGCTCAAAAAGAAGACGGTTTCGGACTACCCTGATGAAACCAGGGTACAACCTGACATCCAAAAGGCCGAGCCCAGCACTGCAGCGCGCGCGCGGCGCCTCATGGCCCTGGCGCGAGATAGACCTCTGTCAGCTTCCCTCTATTTGATTTGTTTAGGAGTTGAGAGGTAGGTTCCTCTTCACCTTCTACAAGAACCAGGGGTTCAAATCCCCAAAACAACCCAATCCAAATCACCATTTCGAGGTTGCTTGACTCTAGGCTCGGGCGAGTCACAAAGCAGCAGCAACCAAAAATGAGGCAATGCAGAAATGTTGGCAGGGCGGACTCACACCATTCCTGCATGGCATTCGTCAGGAACACCTGAGCGACTTGCCGATTTTAGCATCATGAATCAAAGCCATGCGACTGTTTTCTTACATTCACCCCCTGTCCCATGGGCAAAACCAAAGAGAAAGTGGCCCGAGCATCCGCAGCACTTAGGAGCTTGCACGTCTGATGCCGAAGGCGAATCCTTCGCCTTGGGTGTGGAGATCTCTTCAAACCAGTTTGGAAAGAACGCAAAGCATCCTAAGCTGTCCGTGTTCAGATCCCCTGCTAAGAGTTTACCTTAAATCTCAAAGTGGGTTAAATGGAAACCCCCGCCCAACCAACTAAAACCTACAAGCCGATTGGCATGGCTGGGAACCACCAAACATCATGATGTTTGCAGGATGTCAGGGCAAGCTGTGGCTTGGTGGAAGGGTGACGCTGGGTATACTTTCTGTCGATGATGCTGGGGATGCTTGCGCTTCCATGCCATCCCGTGAGTCAAGCATTCGGATGCTTGCCAAGCCCACGCAAAGCAACGTGGTTTCAGACTAGGCTGGAAGACTCATTTGGGTAGGCTCGTGCCAAACAGAACGAGTCATCAGCAGACCGAAAGCACTCGCTCAAATCAGTTCTCCGATCATAAATTGGTGAGCAACAGGCAAAAGCTCACATTCAGAACCCCAAATGCTGGGGGGACGAGATCTTCCACGGTACCGGAGCACGGTTAAAAGCTGCAAACTGGTTTTCCCACATGAAGCAAGAAGAACTCATAGAGCAGGAAGGAAACAAAAGACATGCAAGAGGCGTGTAAGCCCACGCCACATTCAAAAACAACACTTCTCTTGGCCGGGTGTAACGAAGGCCACTTGACCCAAAGGAGAGCCAGTTACACGATCAGAACGATGCAGAACAATGTAGAACTAGTCCAATCCAAACGGAACATGTTCTGAACATTGCAAAGAGGAGGGAAAAATCAAGGATGCTTAGACGTTTGCAAAGCACTGATGCACACATGGGAGGTTGTCGAAAATACTGTCGCACCACTTTGAAACCATGGGAAACCATTGTTGGTGTGTATTTACAGGGGAATCGTCATTCCAGGGTTTCTTACGTGGCGCAGAATTTCGTCCATCCGCAGCATGGCCCCGCTTAGGACCCTGATACGTCCTGATGCCACGTTTTAACAACCCCTGACATGAAATTACAATCCCCCACCCCCGCCAGGTTGAACAGGGTCCAAAAAAGGTCAGCGCTTTCAAAGCTTGTTCGGGGCACGTTATAGGGAACCCAAGACAAACTTACCGTGCACGGACGAAAACACCATGAAACCATTGTTGGTTGGTAGTTCCGTTGGGGGATCGAATCATTCCGTTGGGCTTCTGAACGGTGGTGCGAAAAGCCATCCACAGCAGTACTTAAAGGGGGAATTACTGTCTCGTAAGCCTAGACATACAAAACCCACAAATGCCATGGTTACCCTCCCACCAGCTAACGTAGAAGTGCACAGACCCCTGTAGAAAGACGACTTTCCTCCTGAAAAAGGGCGGTCTTTTGGCACTTCCGTGGCAAGTCGCCCTTCAGTCGGTTCTCTCAGAAAGGCTTCACCACTTCGCGCCGAGCCGCGCTGCTGATCGGAGGGCCGCATCTGCAGCAACGAGGCGCGCCGGGCGCGCGAGTCAGGGGAGCCCACCTCGGGAGTCGGGCTGAGCGCGTTCGGTACCTGGAAAGGAGGCAAGAAAAAATGCGGTCCATTGCCTGGTGGTTTAAGCTTGACCCATACCCAAATGGCAAGAAAGGAAAGCTGCCTTGCCTCTGATTTGCTTTCCACTCAAACATGCCCGAAGCATCTGAGGCGCTGGTGTAAGTAAATTGTTTTCCGATTGGGAAAGTCCCTACGGACCGGAAAGGAAAGGAAAGGAAAGGAAAGGAAAGGAAAGGAAAGGAAAGGAAAGGGAGGGAAGGGAAGGGAAGGGAAGGGAAGGGAAGGGAAAGAGGGCAATCATGCAGGCAACATCATGTGCACCGCAGATCGCGTATACCAAGGCTTTTTTTCAACTTGAGCGGCGTCCTTCTGTGCAGCTGAATTTATTAACTCTGCCATGCCCATGCCGGATTGGTACTTTTGTCGACTTGAGTTGCTGCATGTTCAACGAAAAGAGTTGACGCAGCTTTCTGGAGCGACTGGCTTTGTTTTCCCAAACATGAGCAACGTCTCGGAGCAAACAAGCATGGTCTCAACCAGTACCCCAGTATCCCGCTAAGTTTGACCTCAAGTACTGAGCTGGCCCTGCCGCTAAATGGGTAACCCCAAAACATGGGTTGCCCTGGTAAATGGAAACATGAAACTAAGATGATTTCTTTTCCTCACACCCACCTGAGTCACAATCAAAACTCGGTATTCAAATGGTTGACCCAGAACCATGTAAGGAAATACCAAGGCGGCCGCAACTATGTATGGCTGGGATTGTCCCTTGCTAACCTTCATCTACCCGGGTTTTGAGGACGTGGCTCACCCGACGCACCCCGATCGCCTTGATCGCCTCCATCGCCCCGATCCGCCCCCACCCCCCCCCCGAGGCCCCCCGGCAGCGTCCAAGATCTCGGAGACCATCTTCTTGGCCGCCGCAGCCTCGTCGCCGCCCCTGGCCGCCACCTGAACCCGAGGAAAAAGAAAAAACACGCGGGCCGCGGCTCCAAAGAAAAAGAAAAAATGACATGGGTGGGTAACAAGACGAGGTGGATAAGCAAAAAAAGAAGCTCCAGGCCGCGGCTCCAAAAAAAAGTCTAAAAAATGACATGGGTGGGTAACCCAAAAGACTACCAGGTGGAACAAGACTACCAGGTGAACCAAAACGGCCGCGGAAAGAATGGGTGGGTAACAAGACCAGGTGGAGGATCAACCCCGTCAACAAGTAAAGTAACGGGTCTTTTGACCATGTGTCTTTCTTTAGACCCCCCAAAAAATGATTCAGACCCCCCAAAAATGACGGGTCTGCCCTTTGCAACCAACCCCCAAAAGGGTACCCGCAAAAAGGACACACCCACATCGCTGATGTGGAGCGACTTGCCAACTGACGCACGCCAAGGTAACCCAATGGGTGTGGCTCAAAGTTTTAGAGAGCCCGGGCAAACCGCAGGTTTGCGGTTGTAGTCTTTGGTTCCATTTACCTTTTGGAGCCACTTTGGGGTTACCCTATTTTTGACCCACAGCCAAATGGCACCTTTTGGAAATGGAAGCAAAGACTAAAACCCGAAAACAATTAGATAAAACCATGGCACCAAAAGGTAAATGGAAAAACAAAGACTCAAACCGTGAGTTGTCGAGGGCTCGGGTTGCATGAGGCCATGTCAATGCCGAGCTGAAAAACCCTTGAGCCATGCCCTCAACGCAATAAGTACAACCTTTGGTCACCGAAACCTGTCGACACAAGACCCAAACAAAGGAGCGCCGCGTGCTGGCGATTCGATTTCCACTATGGCGAACGGTCCTGGCTTTGACGGCTCCGCAAAACCCCCGAAAGCCACGCGGCGACAGCCGGTGGTGGAAGACTCGCCTGCGCAGCCCAGCCCGGCCCGCAAGGCACGCAGCCGTGAACCGCCACCTGGGCCCCGAAAAGAAGGAGGCACTTTCGCGTGGCGCAAAAACAACCGAGGGAAACCCAAAACTGAAAAGACTCCAACGCGCGTTTTGGTCATCACCGAAGAGGCCCTAGGTCATAAGGCCCCCAGCAAAGCCCCAGCAATGAGCTCCACTGAGCGCGGCGCGCAAAGAGAGCTGTGCTCTTCCAGAAACCTGAAGTATCCACGCAACACATGCAACTTGTCCCACAGAAGCGGGACTGTGCTTGAAATTCAGCTGAGTTGTTCAGGCTTGTGACTCGGGTGCAAAGTATGCAAAGATCGATTGGCCGCATAACCGCGCTGCGAAGCAGTGTTCTGCGCAATGTGGCACTCTTAAGCTCTGACAATGGGATTGATATTGGGTTCCTCAAACTCAGGTCATCTTCACAATCTTCACGAAACCAATATATCACCCAAGCATGGCCGACACCTCGTGACACTTCCATGCCCCTCGGTGACCTTTGAGCCGCTCGCTCTTTGTAAAGCTTCTTGTAGGTGAAGCCCTGTCGCTCCGTTTGCAATGACCTGCAGTGCTGACTCAACGGCGCAGCATGCGTCAGGTACTGCGGGCGACGGCTGCTGTCGGTGCAACTGAAGAAAAGGGATGCCATCATTGGTGTTGATGGGCGCGCTTTCTGGTGTCCGACCTCTACTTGCAACCCACCTCTCCACTCTGCTCAAGATCAGTTTGGGAGTCGATCGAAAAGGCCGTTACATGGCATGACCATTGGCTGGCAAACCACTAAAAGATTCGCTATGTCCCACATGGAAGAAGTTACGCATGCTTCTTTGGGATTTGTTTTCCCACACAAAAGAAGTTACCCATGGATACTTGGGGGAACGGAGTTCTCGATCAACCCTTTGGGAGTTTGGCTCGATGATGCTCAGAGTGTGAAGCTGGCCCTTCACGGTCTCCTGGCATCGAAAAGTCGAGGACTCGACGCTAAAATCGGCTCCCGAACTGGAACCCTGGTAAATGGAAAGGACCAAAACTGAGTAACCCAGCTGATTCATTTTGAGCCACACCCACTTCCAGCAATCTGAAGGGAACTTCACACCGTGTTTGTCGCTGTATCTAAACAATGGGAGACATGTTTCGAACGGCCAGTCGGACCAAGAACAAATCGGAATTGGGTATGAACAACCATCCAGCTTGTCCGCATTTGCTTCTATTATATGAAATCAACGTTCGCTCCGCGTGGTCACAAGTAGTAACTGGCAGCAAGCACTGCTGAGTAGCGATGAGCCACGTTGTTCTTACTTGTGACGTCAGCTTACTCTTGAATAGGCTCAGGCAATGTATCATACGTCGCAACACTGGCGCCTCATCTATGATCATCGCCTGCTTGGTGGTGTTGGTCTTCACACACTTCACAAACCTGGCCGAAGCCACGGAAATGTCTTGGCAGCCGAAGAACCCGAAGCCAAGCGCGCAGAGGGCGTGCTTCGGCTCACTGGAGCGCAACCTCGGTGCGTGTCGCCCTCTCCAGTGGTGATCCAAGTGAGCTGCGAGCCGCGCGACTTGGGTGTGCCTTGTTTTGGGGGGCACCCCAAAAATCGCCGGGTTTTTTTCAACTTGGCGTCCCTTTTTAAGCCACCAAAAAAATGGTGCCTTGAATTCGGTGTCCCTTTCAAGCCACCCTAAAAAAATGGTGCCTTGAATTCGGTGTCCCTTTCAAGCCACCCCAAAAAAATGGTGCCTTGAATTTGGCGTCCCTTTTAAGCCGCCCCAAAAAAATTGGTGCCTTGAATTTGGCGTCCCTCTTAAGCCGCCCCAAACAGTTTACAGCCACCTCCGGGAAAAAAAAAAAAAAACGCCACCCGCCAATCTCTCCGACTGAGATGCCCGCAGGCTGAACAAAGCGCCCACCGAGCGCAGCAGCTGGGCCGCGATGAAGCCCTTCCTCGGCCTGGGAAAAACCGGGGATCCTTAGATGATTGCATGGCTGAGGGTCAAAAATCGGGTAACCCCAAAATGGGTTGCCCTGGTAATGGAACCAAAGACTAAAACCTGCGGTCCCCTGGTGGCTTAATTTTGACCCACACCCACATTATACACCTGAGCATTGCCTTGTAAATGGTGGTGTCCCTTTCTTTTGGTGTTGAAAAAGCCATGATTCAAAGGCGCAAGATGTATCTTTAACAAAGCCCTGAAAAATGACCGCTGGTTCACTTTACCCCTGAAGGCCCAAGGCCGCTGGTTCAAGGGGATTCGCCAATTACAGATTCCTCAAATCCGGAAATGTAAGGTATCAATGGACCCTTGGAGAATGTCACTTTGTTTCTTTCTTTTTTTTCACGGCTAACCTGGCAAGCTTCTGATAAACCGGGTTGCATCCCCTTTGAATTGTTCTCACAGGACGAGAGTGTCAAAACTAAGACATCCGCACATGCCTGGAAAATGAGACATAATCAAGCAGGTCCCGTGTGGCTCTGTTGGCGCGGGACCCGTTAAAGGTAAACCAGACTCCCCGACGATGTGTCTGTGGCAGTTTGGGACCTCTGCATGTTCTTGGTTTCGGAAGAACATGTAATTCGCCTCGGCCTGAAAGGGGCCAAGGGCGCTCAGATCTCTTCTCCAAAGAGAATCTTCGCTAACCCACCCATGTCGGCTGGCCCAAAATCCTGTCCGGCGAGCCTTGAAATTTTCGGGGTTCGTCGGCGTCCAGCTCCATGGGTCCATTTTTGTCGAAAATGCGCTGACAATTGCGAAAATACGAAAAAAAACGCTTTTTTGTCCTGAAAAGCATGACCTCCTGGTGGCCAGGCCTGTCTGACGTGTCTGAGACTAGGCTCAGGCCCAGCCCAACCAGCAACCCGCCTGCTGGCCAGGCCTGTCAGCCCAGCCCACCCAGCCTCAGGCCCAAGCTTGTCTGAAACAGGCCTAGCCCAAGCACGGCCCCAAGTCATCCAGCAAGCCCAGCCCAGCCTGCCCAGCCCAGGCCCCGCGCATCTCAGGGCAAGCCACTAGGCCGGCCCCCAGCTCCCAGCCCACCACCACCCTCAGCCCAGCGTGCCAAGGTCAGGTTTGTCTGACGTGTCTGAGACTGGCCTCAGGCCAACAGTCTCACGTGTCTGAAACTGGTCTCAAGATATGCCAGCTACTAAGCCTGTCTGACGTGCCCCAGCCCCTCAGTCCGGCTGCCCAAGCAACTCAGCCCAGGCTGGCCAGGCCTTGACCTCCTGCTCGCGTCTGGCCCCAAGTCATCCAGCAGTTCGGCGCAGTCTGAGACTGGTCTCAAAGTATGCCAGCCCAGCCCGCCTGCTCGTGTCTTACGTGCCACCCAGCCTCAGGCCCAAGTGTGTATGAAACAGGCCTTGCCCATCCAGCAACCCGCCCAAGCACAGCTCAGCCCAGCCCAAGTTCCAGGCGCAACCAGCAGCGTAGTCCGGCTGCCCGGCAGCCAGCAACCCATCCATGGCTTCAGGCCCAGCCCAAAGCCTGCCCAGCCCAGGCCCCGGCATCTCAGCGTGCCGTGTCTGAGACTGGTCTCAAGCTATGCCAGCTACTAAGCAGCCCGGCTGACCAGGCCCCTTCGGCGCAGTCTGAGACTGGTCTCAAGGTATGCCAGCCTGAGACTAGCCTCAGGCCCAGTCCCTCAGCCCGCCTGCTGGCGTGTCTTAGCCAGCAACTCGCTACCCAGCCTCAGCCCATCCAGCGCTGCTTTTGCGCACTTTTCGGCCCCAAAGAGAGCGGTGACGAAGCGGTGACAAGCGGTGACATGTCGGCGGGCTGGAATTCGCCGCTTTTCCGGCCCGAAAGCGGAAAACTGAGACCCGCCCAATGTGCTCAGCCCAGCCCGCCCAGCCGAAGTTCCAGGCGCAACCAACAGCGTAGTCCGGCTGCCCAGCAGCCAGCAACCCACCCATGGCTTCGCAGCCTTGTGGCTAGTCTCAGCCCAACCAGCAACCCGCCTAAGCCAACCCCACCCAAGCCCACCCTGTTTGAGACTCGAGGCCTCAGCCTATCTAGCGCGGAGACTGGGCCTCACCAGCCTGGGCTCAACTAGCGTCTAGCCCAGCCCCAGGCCTGTCTGACGTGTCTGAAACGCTGCCCACCCCGCCGTAAACTAGCTTCAGGCCCAGCTCAACCAACAACCCACGCAAGCAAGGTCCAGCCAAGCTGCCCGAGACTAGCTTCAGGCCCAGGGCAGGCTTATCTGATGTGTCTGAGACTAGCCTGTGGCCCAGCCCAACCAGGCGAGGCCGGCTTGTCTGACTTGTCTGGAGCCAGCTTCAGGTATTCGGACCTTCCCAACACTGGATTTCGGTGTTCCTGACCCTTCCCTCAAACTAGGCTGGGCCGAGGCGGGCAACGCGAAGCGTTTACAATTACCTCATCACTTCTCATCACTTCTTCACGTGCTTCAGCTTAATATCCATGGGCACTCCCTGCAACATATCCTTCACCGGGCAGTGAGAATCCACCACAGCTTTCAACTGCTCGATGGTCTCGGTCTCTGCTGGTGACTCGACTGTGTATGTGCCCTCAATCTTGTTGAAGCCCGCACGGACAGACTCGTCCACCGCAAAGAATCCTCGAAGGTCGATGTGCCCAGTGAGCTCCACCGAGACTTTGCCGAGCGGCACACCCATGGCATTGGCAAAAGCCTTGGTGGTGATCTCTTGACAGGCGCCCAAGGAAAAGAGCAAAATCTCAACAGGATTTGGAGCGGAGTCTTGCCCACCAAAGCCCGCTGGCTCATCTGCCTTGATCTGAAAGTTGCGTAGCTGGCCGTTGCTCACCAAACCATCCACCAAGTGTGAAGATGACTGGAAGCTTGCCTGAGCCTGAGCCGGGTTCTTCTTGAAGTTGGCTTGAATTGCTGCAATGGCTTCAGCCGAAGGTCCCCCGGAAAAGCATCTGAAGGCTGGGCAGACGCGGGCATGCCGCAGGCCACGAGCCAGCATGATGGGACTCAAACGTCTACCGTCCGGCAATGGATCGAGCCAAAAGCTTGGAGGATGTCACTTTACCCTTCAATTGACCCTGAAGGCAGCTCCCTTCCCTTAAGACTGCTTCCACTTGCTGGTGCTCAGGGAATGACCTTCCGGGTTTGAGAATGAACACGAGGCAGGGAACGAGGTTTTTTTGACACACAAGGCATGGCACAGTTTCCCATACCCTCTTTGGCTTACATGGCCTTGCCGGTTTCTGGCTGACCTTGCCTCTGCCAAACTTCAGGCAGGGAATGAGAGAATCGGAAGCCCTGATTGAAGCCACCCAATCCCCCTTCCGGTTCATTCATTCCCAACACCCGGCTCGAAGGGGCAGTGTGCTTACTAAGTGGGTAATAACCGTGGTTATAACCTGAATGGAGACTTACCAGGGTAAAGCCATGGTCATTACCCGCTTACTAAGTAACCTGCCCCTTTAATCAGGGTGTTGGGAATGAAACGGAAGGCTAAGGGGGATTCCCAAATAAAGGAAGCCATAGGACATGGATGGCTTCAATCAGGGGTTCCGATTCTCATTCCCTTCCTCTCGAACCAGTCAAGAAAATGGCAAGCTCGGGCTCACCCAGTCTGTCCCCTCCCTTAGATCCGCACTTCTCGGACTGCGCCGAGCTTTCCGGAACGGCACCTGCGGAAAAAGGAGATCTGACTCGAGTCGGCCAATCGGTTCAGCTAGTGCCCTGCCACTCTCTCACTACTTGACAGAGCTTCATTCAGCTTGCAAAGGCTGAGAAGCCAGTCGGGCTATTCAACCAATCAAAGAACACAGCGATAGATTCTGAAAGCTGTGTTCACCGTCACATGCTTTGCGTTCGCAAGCGTGTCATCCGTCCACTGAAATCAAAAGGCTGGGCTTGCCACATCAAGGAGGCATGCGGTTCATGCTTTCCGTGCTGCTTCGAGGCATTTGCTCTGTTTATCTCTGTTTATGACATGTGGAAACGTTTGAGCGGGGATGTTAGTTTCTGGGTTTGAGCAACTAGCAGTGTGGGGAGCCTCAATTCATGGGGATTGACCTTTGAACATGTTCATGAGCAAGCAACAGCCCTCAGCTCTGCAACGCTCCGAATTTGTCCGAAGTGACTCTGCTTACAGGGGCAGGGTACTTAGTAAGTGGATAGTAAGGCCAGTGATAAGCCACTGCATGGAGACTTATAACCATGGCTTTTTGTGGGATATAACCAGGCTTCCTAACCACTTACCTGCCGTACAATGCCCCTATAACTGTGGCTGGTTTAGTCCGTGTTGGCCTGTGGCCAATGAAAACCACTTTCCGCCCCGCAGGCCGCAGGCCTTTGAGGACCTCCTGCACAAAGGGCTTGCTGCTGCCCAGGAGGAGCTGGCACGAGAGCGAAAAATCCGAAGGAAACATCGAGAATGGATGTCTCATGCTGACCCCAGACTAAATAATCCTACTTTTCTTGGGGGTGGAAGCAAAAAAACACTCCAACAGTGAGGAATCCTCATATCAGGGATATCTCTGGGGTTCTGCTTACTCCGGGGTTCAAGTTCGTTTCGATGGCGCCTGCAAGACCTCCGACGGCATCACATCCATGTTCTTCTCCCGGAAGTGCGCTGTGCAGTAACGCACCTCCGCGGGTTTTTCGCGTTTCAGCAACGCAGCCAAACTGGGAGCCTTTGGAGAGCCAAGCGGAGAGCCTAAGACGAGCACAGGACAGCAGGAGTGCAGGATCTCAAAGTGCTCTCTGGCGGCCATCTTGGGCTCCACGTAGCACTTCACCGGGCTCTTCCCGAACCTGCGATCACATGTCTAAGCCAACCCTCGGCTGGCCTCCTTATTCTACAATGATCAAAGTCAGCCCCGAAGTGGTGGGTCAAAAGGAAACCATAACCGTCAACCTCCCCATGTTAACCCACTGTTAAAGTCACCCCCTCCATTTTCTGACTTTCATGACTTTTATCATTTTCCCACCATAAACCGTTGCTTTTTCTGACTTGGATGACTTATGATCCCATTTTCTGACTTCGACAACCCCCATAAACCGTGAAAACAACGGCCCCCAGCTCGGCCCGCGAGCGCCGTGCGCGCTTTTTCAGCGCCGTGCGTTGCACGCCTCCGGTGGCAGGACTGCGTGAAGGCCTCGTTGCTGCCGGACTGCAAGCCGCACTGCTCCTGCGGGCAAGGGCGCAAAGGGCCGCGAAACGCAACGGGGATCCTTAGATGATTGCATGGCTGTGGGTCAAAATAGGGTAACCCCAAAATGGGTTGCCCTGGTAAGTGGAACCAAAGACTAAAACCTGCGGTCCCCTGGTGGCTTAATTTTGACCCACACCCACATTATACTGAACATTGGCTTGTAAATGGTGGTGTCCCTTTGATTTGGTGGAAAAAGCCATGTTTCGAATGGTTGCAAAATGTATCTTTTAAGGAGCCCTGCACAAGGCTGGACTAGAAAATCAAGAGGAGTAGACCAAATCCCTTCGGCAAATGCTGACAGCTGATCAAACATCTTTCGCTGTCTTGATAGATGTAGGCATGAATTTTAACTAGGGGCGCTTTGGTGGACATCATCTTCAAGGGGATTTATGTCCACCTACCGCTTATGAGGTGGTTCCCCTTTCAAATTCATCGCCTGGACAAACACAGCGTGCCTGGCCCCAGAGACAGACTATCATGGATCCCGAGCCTCCAGCAACGGCAAAACGCCAAGCCCCAGCTTTGCATCCTGTCCGGCACAATTTGAATTTTTGCCACACTGTGCCACCAATTGATACTCAGCGGCAGCAAGCGGAAACGGCATATTACTGCAGCACGATCCAATTATCTCTGGGGGTGGTCTGCCGTTTATGGAGAAAAAGAATCCGCGAGGCAGGGCGAACAGATCTCTCACGAAAGTCCGGTCATCGACTTGTGTCTACATCCATCAGGTAGGCATGTTGGGAGTGGCATCAAGTAGGTTTGGGTGCAACCGGCTTATCTTCCTATTACAGTGGCATGCAAAAGCGGGCAGGACAAATTAAATCTCCTGCGAGTCGATCGTGGCCAAGATGTGCGCGTTGTCCTGCCAGCTTCCCGAGCCCAGCATACTCGACATGGTTCATATGGCCATGGGTCAAAATCCAAACCGTACCCCCAGTGAACATCCCAATCCAACCACTAAAATAGACTAAAATGGGTGTTGCACCTACCCCAAAATGGTACCATTGGTTTTGAACCATGGCCATATCCAAAGCTGAATAGTGCGGTTGACCCTCTCCAGTTGTCAGTTCCCGACAACTCAAAATAATAATACAACTTGTAGCTGCAGTCAAACTGATGCCATGTATGCGTCGGTCCTGAAACTTGATCGCGATGGTGATGCCTTCCTCACTGCACATGGCCTCCCGGGATCGCTATTCAAGCAGGTAAAGGAGGTCTTCTGCAGCCGAACCTGCTCCCGCTTGAAGGCGGCTTCTATGAAGAACCTCGGTGTCGGGCTAATCTGGTTGTATAATCTACTGGGGCCGGCGCGTTCTTGCAATGCATGGGTTCATGGTACGAACAAATAATTGAAACAATGAAGCGGTTGATAGAGCCAGAAAACCGCTGCTTCAATGGCTCTCGGAGACCGAGCCATTTTCTCTTGTCCGTCTTTGAGTGAGGGCTGCCTCTCAGTCAAGCAACCCTTCTGACCAGAAGGACATGAAATACTCTCCACAGGCCTTCTGTGAACAATGTCGACATGGGCCTACATCACAATCTGCATCCGACACTCAAGACCAACCAAGGCCCGACCACAACGCAGGATGTCTGACACTCCGTTGGGTAATGCTGACAGCGCAACTGCGGGGCAAGCAGTCAGCGACCGTCTAAGAGCATGTTCTCTGCCGTAGCTCTGGAAAGAAGCTCACTGCAAACAAGCAAACAGCTCCTGTGGCAAGCAACGGCCAACCAAACAACAGCCCCAAATCAAGCTAGCATGCAAGGGCAGCCGCAGCGTTCACGACAACCCTGCAGCCTGCAATCTGTTGCGACCCACCATCCACAGCAGCCGTTCACGGTGACAATTGCAAGTTCTCTTGTCCGTCTTTGAGTGAGGGCTGCCTCTCAGTCAAGCAACCCTTCTGACCAGAAAGGCACGACCACAACGCAGGATGTCTGACACTCCATTGGGTAATGCTGAAAGCGCAACTCCAGGGCAAGCGGTCAGCGACCGTCTAAGAGCATGTTCTCTGCCGTAGCTCTGGAAAGGAGCTCACTGCAAACAAGCAAACAGCTCCTGTGGCAAGCAACGGCCAACCAAACAACAGCCCCAAATCAAGCTAGCATGCAAGGGCAGCCGCAGCTTGCACGACAACCCTGCAACCTGCAATCTGTTGCGACCCACCATCCAGAGCAGCCGTTCACGGTCACAATTGCAAGCTGCGGTTGATAGAGCCCAGGAGACCGCTGCTTCAATGGCTCTCGGAGACCGAGCCATTTTCTCTTGTCCGTCTTTGAGTGAGGGCTGCCTCTCAGTCAAGCAATCATTCTGACCAGAAGGACATAACATACTCTCCACAGGCCTTCTGTGAACGATGTCGACATGTTCCTACATCACATTCTGCATCCCACAGTCAAGACCAACCAAGGCCCGACCACGCAACTGCGGGGCAACCAGCCAGCGACCGTCTAAGAGCATGTTCTCTGCCGTAGCTCTGGAAAGGAGCTCACTGCAAACAAGCAAACAGCTCCTGTGGCAAGCAACGGCCAACCAACAAACGGCCTCAATCAACCTGGTACGCAAGGGCAGCCGCGGCTTGCACGACAACCCTGCAACCTGCAATCTTGCGACCCCCACCATCCAGAGCAGCCGTTCACGGTCACAATTGCAAGCTGCGGTTGATAGAGCCCAGGAGACCGCTGCTTCAATGGCTCTCGGAGACCGAGCCATTTTCTCTTGTCCGTCTTTGAGTGAGGGCTGCCTCTCAGTCAAGCAATCATTCTGACCAGAAGGACATAACATACTCTCCACAGGCCTTCTGTGAACGATGTCGACATGTTCCTACATCACATTCTGCATCCCACAGTCAAGACCAACCAAGGCCCGACCACAACGCAGGATGTCTGACACTCCGTTGGGTAATGCTGACAGCGCAACTGCGGGGCAACCAGCCAGCGACCGTCTAAGAGCATGTTCTCTGCCGTAGCTCTGGAAAGGAGCTCACTGCAAACAAGCAAACAGCTCCTGTGGCAAGCAACGGCCAACCAACAAACGGCCTCAATCAACCTGGTACGCAAGGGCAGCCGCGGCTTGCACGACAACCCTGCAACCTGCAATCTTGCGACCCCCACCATCCAGAGCAGCCGTTCACGGTCACAATTGCAAGCTGCGGTTGATAGAGCCCAGGAGACCGCTGCTTCAATGGCTCTCGGAGACCGAGCCATTTTCTCTTGTCCGTCTTTGAGTGAGGGCTGCCTCTCAGTCAAGCAATCATTCTGACCAGAAGGACATAACATACTCTCCACAGGCCTTCTGTGAACGATGTCGACATGTTCCTACATCACATTCTGCATCCGTCAGTCAAGACCAACCAAGGCCCGACCACAACGCAGGATGTCTGACACTCCATTGGGTAATGCTGAAAGAGCAACTCCAGGGCAAGCAGTCAGCGACCGTCTAAGAGCATGTTCTCTGCCGTAGCTCTGGAAAGGAGCTCACTGCAAACAAGCAAACAGCTCCTGTGGCAAGCAACGGCCAACCAAACAACAGCCCCAAATCAAGCTAGCATGCAAGGGCAGCCGCAGCGTGCACGACAACCCTGCAACCTGCAATCTGTTGCGACCCACCATCCACAGCAGCCGTTCACGGTGACAATTGCAAGTTCTCTTGTCCGTCTTTGAGTGAGGGCTGCCTCTCAGTCAAGCAACCCTTCTGACCAGAAGGACATGAAATACTCTCCACAGGCCTTCTGTGAACAATGTCGACATGGGCCTACATCACAATCTGCATCCGACAGTCAAGACCAACCAAGGCCCGACCACAACGCAGGATGTCTGACACTCCATTGGGTCATGCTGAAAGCGCAACTCCAGGGCAAACAGCCAGCGACCGTCTAAGAGTATAATTCTTTGCCGTAGCTCTGGAAAGGAGCTCACTGCAAACAAGCAAACAGCTCCTGTGGCAAGCAACGGCCAACCAAACAATCAAGCCGAGGCAATCCCGCCCGCCCGCCTTGAGGGCGCTGTTTCTCTTTGAACTGCTGCTGAGTCAATCGAACGGTTGCACAGCACTCACATGACCGGACTTTCAGCCATTAGCACACAACCCGAGGAAGCGATGCATTCGCATCCCTTCTCCTTGCCAATCATTCTGGGCGGGAATGAAATGGGGATGGGTTTCAGAATGATTTGGCAACCGGGCCGCTCCATCCAAAACGGCCACGGTTGCTCATCCCATCATACTTGCGGCATTCATCAAGCGAATCGCAGACTTTTAGAAAACCTGCATCGGCGTAGCCTTGAATTGTCTCGCGCGCAGCTTCGTTGCTTTCGATCCCTTCATAGTTTGCAAATTGGCCCAAATCCGTCCATAAACCCTCCGGGTCTAGGCGCTCAAACTCTTCCTCTTCTGTGACTTTTGGGAAGAGTCCATTGAGCTCTGGGTGCAACAAAATGCCCCCAGGCGCTCCATCCATGAGCCACGGCACAATTTTGGCACCAGGATCCTGCGCAGCTCTAGCCCAAAGGTCGAAGATTCCCGCCCGGAGAACTGTCTGACAGTGCCGATTCGAGACGGGTCCTGTCAAGGATTTGATTTTCTCCGGGCAAGCAGACTCCCCCACAGCTCTCAGCAAAATGCTGACAAGACCACAACGAACATCATCCAACCAAGCTGCGGGTGTCAGAAAAGCGCCCTTGGGCTTGCCCAACCTAGCTAGCAGGCGATCTTCTAGCTCGGGATTCTTGTCAAGGCATGAGTCCAGAAAATTCCGGAACTGAACACCAAGATTGACGAGTCCTGGAACAGCCTCAACTGACTCGAAGGTGCGCCGCAAGCCCCCGACATGTGGCTCAACTGTGGGGTTGGTTGGCGCTCTGCCTAAGCACAAGACTCTGCGTGTCTTCGGGAGCTTACAAAAGTCCAAATCATCCTGCAAAACTCTTTTGTTCTGCTCTTCTGCTGCCTGGTGAAGCACGCCTGCAGCTTTCAGTCCTTGCCGACACGCAGATGCGAAAGCATCCGCAAGGCTGACATTCAATGCTGCAGGAAAACGAACTAATGATCGGAAAAGGAGTGGCCCTTCCGGCTCAAGCTTTTCTTTCATGCGTGGGCGCCATTCCTCTGCAGGTAATGCTACCTGGCATCCCTTCAGTGGAGGGTGAGGCCCCCAGGCAGCTTCCCCACTCCAGGTATCTTCCACCATCGCGGCGGATGATTGCACAACCCTGGAGAGCCAATCCGCTGAAAATTCGCAAGGAAATCCGTGTCCCATTTGAACTGGCATCCATACATGCATTGCGAAACCCTTATAAGCTGTGTGTTGCAATGGCATTTTAGCCGCACAGCCTCAGGAAAATCGAACAAGCTCGGGCGCCCCTCTTTCTTGGCAGGAAACCCAATGCCCCATGGAAGACCTTGCAGCGCAAACCACTCCGCAGCTTCCAGCACTCGCAATGACAGAGCAGTTTCCTCTCGAACGCTTGCTTTCTCCATGGGCGCGAGGCCAGGAAAGCCGAGCAGGTCAGGCACGCATGGGCCCCTAAGGGGCTTCAACCCGTCATCGCTGTCACAAAATGTCTTCCAGGGCGGGGTTGCAAACATTGCCGCGAATTCACCTTTGGCGATGCGGTGGGTGAAAAGCTGCTCCCAAACATCTTGGTCAAGCAGATTGGTAGGAGAATCTTGTTGCAAATCGCAACAAACAACGTGAACCCCCAGGCGACGCATCTGCGCTTGCAAACTGCCCTCTTGGGTCGGCCCAGAAAACAGATATAGCAGCTTAATGCGCGCGCCTGCGCCTGACGCGCTGGCTGCCGCGCTGGCTGCCGTAGCGCTGTCCTCGCTACTTGGCAGCGGCGAACGGCTGCGCGATAGTCAGTAGGGTGTCGGCCGCCCTGCTGCTCTGCCTCGGTTGCCCTGTCGCCCGCGCCCGCGGCCCTTGTCACCTTTGCCTCGTGTCACAAATCCAACTTTTGGCGGGTCTGTGTATGGACATTTGCATCTCGGGTGCGAGCCAAGGCAGCGTGAGCACTGGTGTGCCTTGGTAGAGTGCTGGCCACACCAATTGCCGGACACAGTGTGGGGACAGGAGTCATCTTGAAATCCCGGGCATAACTGGTATCCTGTGCGATTGCAGCGATAGGCCCCTTCGTGCAAGTCGTGCAAGCGGCCTGTGCGATTCTGCTTCCTAGGCTTTGGATTAACAGGTGCGGACCCGGCACTCTGTGGCCCTGCGGCCGCTGCAAGAATACCCCTTGATGCATCATCCACTCCCTGGCGGCC